AGAGCTCTGCCCTGTTTTCCTCTTTGCAATCAGCAGTCCCGGCCGGGACCCCACTGATCGTCTTGTGCTGTTTCTAACCACAGCATAGCTGGGGCGGTGTGCTCCCTACCCAGAAGAGCTGGATCACGTACTAGATAGTAGCAGGGGAGACCTACCTTGCCACCGTACATCTAAGTGATGTGGGTCGGCAAGCAGTGTAAAGTGTATTTTTTTAAATAAAATTGGGTTAAAAGGCCTTTAAAAAAAGAAAGAAGCGAGTTGCTGTGTCCTTTAAAAAAGTTCTACCACTTGATGCGAGTTCCCACAATATATATATATATATATATATATATATAGTATATATATATACATATCGTGCAAAAGATCATTTATTTCAGTAATGCAACTTAAAAGGTGAAACTAATATATGAGATAGACTCATTACATGCAAAGCAAGATAGTTCAAGCCGTGATTTGTCATAATTGTGATGATTATGGCTTACAGCTCATGAAAAACCCCAAATCCACAATCTCAGAAAATTAGAATATTACATGCAATCAATAAAACAAGGATTGTACATAGAACAATATCGGACCTCTGAAAAGTATAAGCATGCATATGTACTCAGTACTTGGTTTGGGCCCCTTTTGCAGCAATTACTGCCTCAATGCGGCGTGGCATGGAAGCTATCAGCCTGTGGCACTGCTGAGGTGTTATTATGGAAGACCAGGATGCTTCAACAGCTACCTTCAGCTCTTCTGCATTGTTCGGTCTCATGTCTCTCATCTTTCTCTTGGCAATGCCCCATAGATTCTCTATGGGGTTCAGGTTAGGCGAGTTTGCTGGCCAATCAAGCACAGTAATCCCACGGTCATTGAACCAGGTTTTGGTGCTTTTGGCAGTGTGGGCAGGTGCCAAGTCCTGCTGGAAAATGAAGTCAGCATCCCCATAAAGCTCGTCTGCAGAAGGAAGCATGAAGTGCTCCAAAATCTCCTAGTAGACGGCTGCGCTGTGGAACCCTGGACTTAATGAAGCACAGTGGACCAACACCAGCAGATGACATGGCTCCCCAAATCAACACAGACTGTGGAAATGTCACACTGGACTTCAAGCATCTTGCAGTGCGTGCCTCTCCATTCTTCCTCCATACTCTGGGTCCTTGGTTTCCAAATGAGATGTAAAACTTGCTCTCATCAGAAAAGAGGACTTTGGAACACTGAGCAACAGACCAGGTCTGTTTTTCTTTAGCCCAGGTAAGACGCTTCTGACATTGTTCAGGAGCGGCTTGACAAGAGGAATACGACATTTGAAGCCCATGTCCACTATCCATCTGTGTGTGGTGGCTCTTGATGCTCACTGACTCCAGCCTCAGTCCACTCCTTTGTGAAAGTCCCCAACACTTCTGAATGGCCTTTTCCTGACAATCCTCTCCAGGCTGCGGTCATCCCTGCTGCTTGTGCACCTTTTTCTTCCACACTTTTCCCTTCCACATAAACTTTCTATTAATGTGCTTTGATACAGCACTTTGGGAACATCCAACGTCTTTTACACAATTACCTTTTGAGGCTTTCCCTCCTTATGGAGGGTGTCAATGATGGTTTTTCTGCACACTTTGTCAGGTCAGCAGTTTTTCCCATGATTGTGATTCCTACTGAACCAGACTGAAGGCCATTTAAAGGCTCAGGAACCCTTTGCAGGTGTTATGGCTTAATTAGCTGATTAGAGTGGGACACTTTGAGCCTAGAATATTGCACCTTTTCACAATATTCTAATTTTCTAAGTTATATATATTCTAAGTTGCATTACTGAAATAAATGAACTTTTTGCACGATATTCTAATTTTTTCGAGTTTTCACCTGTGTATATATATAAAATGTTTGGGGGTTCTAAGTAATTTTCTAGCCAAAAAATGCTCATTTTATTTGTAAACAAAAACTGTCAGAATAGGCTGGGTATTTAAGCGGAATTAGTAGATCCATTGAAAAGTTAATATATGAAACTCTGACTGATAACTCGGATAACTCTTTATATATTTGTGTGAGTGTTGTTATAGTTGTATTTTGCAAAATGAAAAAAATAAAATTGCAAAGAAAACTGTTCTGGTCAATAATGGGTAAACTACCAGTAGACTTGAATTGGTTAATATAATATATATATAGCTATATGGATGTATAGCTTGAGAAGGCTGTTATGACTTGGCAAAGATATTTTGCCACCCAGAAAAGTTAAAACAATTATTATACAGCAAGCACTATATATGTGATATTTGCTTACATATAAAGCATTTTTCTCATTCATACCTAGAAGTTATTATGAATTATATGCATGAATATTCATATTGCATTCCAGCATCACAGATCCTGAGCTCAGTGAATGCTTTGAATTTCAAAGGAATGTAGAGCTATTTGTAGAGGACCTGGCAATGTCTCAACAGAATGCTTCATCCAGAACAAAGTAGGTCAGTTCCATTGAGATATCAATGGTGAGATACAGTATAAGATTTGTCTCATGCTTTGTCTGTTGTCGCCTCCAGTCACCATAAACAGTACATTGCTGACGTTATACTCATTAATTATCCAAAGCAAATTATTGGGTAACAGGCTATGGAAAATACAGAGCGTGTAGGTAAATATTTAATTGCCTGAGGTAATAATGATCAGCGTTTTTGATAGATATACTCAGTGGCGTATGCATAGTTTAATTGTCCTCAAATGTCCAGTGGCTACAAACAGCTTAAGTGGACATTGTCAGAAATTAACTGGCATAGGATCACATGGGATCCCTGTGTCACAGTCTGCACTTGATTAATGTCTGAATATTTAAAGAATTTAAAGACCTGGGTTTTTTTTGATCATGGACCACTTTTAGATAAAAAATAAATAAATACAAATCTCAAATAATCATAATAATAGTGACAACTTCATTAAAACAATAAAAAGGATATATATTAGAAAATATATTTTTAACTTTTTTATTTGATTGGTAACAATTGTAACTGTAGTAAAATAGCTAAAAATATTGATACTGTGTTGTCGTGTAAATTATGAAAAATTGAGTGGTTTTGGTTAAATTATTTTTTAAATAAATGTTTTTTTTTTTCATTTATACATTTAATCTATTGTTCTACATAGATTGTTTTATTAAATAAATGCAATCTTTATTTTCTAAATAAACAATCTATGATGAAATTGCACCCCTGTCCTGCCCAGAGCTGGCCACATCTGCCTACAACAACTATCTATCATCCTCCCTGGACGCTCTTGCTCCTCTTTCTACACGCAGAACCAGGCCTCACCTGTCACAACCCTGGCAAACAGATGACACCAGAAGTCTCAAGAGACACAGCCGCACTCTTGAGCGAGCATGGCGTAAAAATAAATCCCTAGAAAACTTTACCCTCTACAAATACGCTCTTCTCAAATACAACTCCAGCCTCCACGCTGCTAAACAAACCTACTATAACACTCTCATCAAGACCCTCTCATTCAATCCTCGTCAACTCTTCTCTACCCTTAATTCCTTACTCCACCCCCCACTGCCTCCACCCACCAACTTACTTACTGCACAGGAGATTGCCAGTCACTTCAAGAAGAAGATCGACACAATTCGTGATGAGATCTCCAGTGTCAAGCTTCCTCCTCTAACCAACATACCAGGCCAAACACCAAACTCTACACTCTCCTCCTTTGACCCTGTTATCACCACCAAGGAAGTTACCGAACTCCTTTCCAAGGCCCACTTCACCACCTGTCCCCTGGATCCTGTCCCCTCACGACTGTTGCAGCCTCCTTCCTGCTCTATCCTAAACTCTCTAACCCGCATCTTCAACCTCACTCTCCATGGGCACCTTTCCCTCCCCACTCAAAACATACACAGGTTACCCCCATCCTCAAAAAACCTCGCTGGACCCCACCTGTTTGAATAACTTAAGACCCATCTCCCTGCTCCCGTTTGCCTCCAAGCTTCTCGAGCGCCTTGTTCACAACTGTATGAACTGCTACCTCACCGACAACAGCCTTCTTGATCCCCGACAGTCTGGCTTCCGCCACAACATTCCACAGAAACTGCCCTACTAAAACTCACTAATGACCTACTAACTGCTAAAACCAACGGCCATTACTCCATACTCATACTCCTTGATCTTTCCGCTGCCTTTGACACAGTTGACCACCCGCTCCTCCTCAGTAAACTCCACTCCATCGGCCTCCGTGACTCAGCTGTCTCCTGGTTCTTCTCTTACCTTTCTCAGCGCACTTTCACTGTCACATACAACTTCTCCTCCTCTGCTCCGCTTCCTCTTTCTGTTGGGGTACCCCAAGGTTCTGTTCTTGAGCCCCTCCTTTTCTCTCTTTATACCTCCTCCCTGGGCCAACTGATAACCTCCCATGGCTTCCAATACCACCTCTATGCTGATGACACCCCAGATCTATCTCTCCACTCCCCAGCTCACCCCCTCAATCTCCTCACTTATCACAAATCTACTAAGCGACATATCAGCATGGATGTCACATCACTACCTTAAACTTGTAATATTATATGTATAAGTATATACGAACGACCACCTCATGACCCCCCCCCGCTTCATATGGTCCCTGTAGACACCCCCCTGATCACATTGCCCTCCCCTTCATCCATGGCAATACTCACCCGGCTCGGCTCTCCCCTCGTCCCCTCCGGCACATGCCCGGCTCACTGCCCTCCTCTCCGCTCCTCTCCCGGCCGGCTCCTCTCTTCTCTCATAACTCAATGTGGATGGCAGTCGTATCAGATGACACGTCTGCTGCAGCCGCTTCAGTGATCTTGTGACCTCATTTTGGTGCCCCTGTACCTTGGCGCCCAGGTACATATGTACCCCCCTGCCCCCCCCCCCCCCCCCCAGCTATGCCTCTGCAGGCCTGCCAAGTTCCTCCACCCCAAACTCGCTCATCTATGTCTTTATGGACTTTGCTTTGTGCTGTGGTGCGCACTCATATTGGAGCAGGAATGGGTCATCCCTAAACTGTTACCACAAAGTTGGGAGCATGAAATAGTCCAAAATGTCTTGGTATGCTGATGCCTTAAGAGTTCCCTTCACTGGAACTAAGGGGCCAAGCCCAACCCCTGAAAAACAACCTCACACCATAATCCCCCCTCCATCAAACTTTACACTTGGCACAATGCAGTCAGGCAAGTACCGTTCTCCTGACAACCGCCAAATCCAGACATGTCCATCGGATTGCCAGGCAGAGAGGCATAATTTGTCACTCCAGAGAACACGTCTACAGTACTCTAGAGTACAGTGGCAGCGTGATTTACGTCACTGCATCTGATACTTTGCATTGCACTTGGTGATGTAAGGGTTGGATGCAGCTGCTCAGCTATGGAAACCCATTCCATGAAGCTCTCTACACACTGTTGTTGTGCTAATCTGAAGGCCACACAAAGTTTGGAGGTCTTTAGTTATAGACTCTGCAGACAGTTGGTGACTTCTGCCCACTGTGCTCTTCAGCATGTGCTGACCCTGCTCTGACATTTTACATTGCTGTTGTTCCCAGTTGCTTCCACTTTGTTATAATACCACTAACAGGTGACTGGAATATTTAGTAGCAAGGAAATGTCACGTATGGACTTATTGCACAGGTAGCAATCTATCACGGTACCACTCCTGAATTCATTGAGCTCCTGAGAGCGACCCATTCTTTCACTAATGTTTGTAGAAGCAGTCTGAATGCCCAGGTGTTTGATTTTATACACCTGTGGCCATGGAGGTGATTGGAACGCCTGAATCCAATGATTTGGAGGGGTGTCCCAATACTTTTGACAATATAGTGCATATATGCCGTCTATTGTGCCAACTTGGAAATTAGCAAATCCAAAAATTGGATTTTTATCTTCTGCACTTACTGCATGTATGCAGGTTTCTCCAATTTCCTTAAATCTATAAATTATAATTACCTTATTTCCTACATTGACCAGACACATCTATATGCAGATGATCAGGAGAGTGATGTTTTCTGCATCAATCATCCCTGCTTATAGACACCGACACTTCCCTATACCTGCCACTATAGCTGCTCATTTTGGCTGTCTTCTATGCTATACCTGATAATTTACTACCCTTTAACTTCGGCTGTACCCTCATTGTTCTTAGCTCCATCAATAACATGATTTCTTCTAACGTTTTAAACACCACGCAGTAAAATTTCATGGCCCAAACATTGAACTAAAGAGGGACTCGGATAGAGATTCCTTATTCTAATTACATGGCCCTTCATTATGTTCTCCATGTGCTTCCTTCTGAGTTCCCCTGTCATGTTAGGTACCTGTGCAGAATCGCAGACTTTACCGAATATATATCTTTTTCTATATCAACTACCATCGTAGTTTTTAGGTTTATAATTTCTCCCAAAACACATGTATCCTCTATTTATTCTTTATATTTTATATGCAATTTTCTGTGATGGATGTCTAAATATCAGCTACCTTTCAGCCACAGTATGACCATCCATATAGCATTTTAACAGAGGGAGAAGTATCACAATTTTGCAGGTTTGACAGCACAGGTAAGAAAGAGATGACAAAATTAGTGACCGCTGTTACTAAGTATTCTTGTGTTCTTGAACAGAAGTACCTATTGATTTACCTTCTGTGCTTAAATCCCAAACTGTATTTAGAATTCAGGTAATTTCTTAGTTTAAATGTTAAAATGCTTCTAATAGGTGAAAAAAAGGGTAGATATTGTATGGTTCTAATGGGAATGAGAAAATTACCCTGATCTCTTTCCTTTGGTCTTGGTGACTTTTTACTAAATGTTTTAAATCATTGTGCTTGATAAAAATGTATTTAGGCAAGGGAAAATCAAGCAGGGTCTGGCAGTTAAAGTGTATGTTTTTGTCTTTCTAGGGCAAGCTCTATGTTTTCAACAAGGTACCCATGCTTCCTAAAAAAATGTATATTCTTATATGCAGAAAACCAGCTCTAATAACATTGAATGTTGTACATACAAGGTCAAGTATACAGAAACATAAGGGGTTATGCTTCCAGCTTTTATTGTCAAAGCTTAATTGAACAAGCTAAAGTTAAAAAGCTGCACCAGATTCTGGGTGCTCCAGTTTTAGTAAATTTACCCTATACAGTCTATACAGTTTACCCTTGTACAACCCCCCCCCCATCACAAAAAGATGTCCAGCTGGCCACTTTTTACGCCACCCAACCCAATTCTGAACCAATTTCAACAAATTTTGGCAATATGAATGTGTCTGATCATTGGGATATGGTTGTGAGAGTTTTTAACCACAAACTTCACTAGTACTGTGAATGACTCTATGATCAGCTAAGTTCATAGCTCCCTGAGGAAATGGGCAAAGAGCAGCTTGTACTCACAAATATAAATGACCTAAGCAGTAAACACTGTGAGATAATGTCAATTACAATATTCATCCTGTATGAGAAAGTGAAGACTGACAAGTAGATGGGGTGAGTGAGTGCTGGCTTGAATCAGGACAAAGTTTGCCAAATATTATCAGTCTTCACCTCTGTCCATGCCTTTGGTCATAGGCAAAAATAACTAACATAATTTGTGTGTGTGCTTTGTTAGATATGAGTTAAAATGTTTAGGATGTCTAACATCCATACGTATGACAGAATAATTCTCACACAAGGCACATTCAAGTTGCTAGGAAGTCCCAGAATGCATCATGAAAAACTAAAGTAAAATAAAAAAATCCAGATTAATGGTAAATTTCCTGATCAACAATAGCACAGAATATATCAGCTCAAACAATGCAGTGCTTTCATCAGGGATTTCAAGTGCGTAGCTTTCATTGACGTCACCCATGCCTCCTGGAAGGGTCGTAAGCTAGGGCCAAAGTAAGGTTTGCTTTGTAAAAACTTTATTTTGATAGGCTTATATAAACTAACTGTATATAGGGGGTGGGGAGTAGCAGATCACAAATTCAAGGAAATAGCCTGCCTCTTCTCAGCTACAGATTAAGGTGGTTGTAAACCCAAGACATGAACTATGAGCAAAGCATATTCCTTAGTGTGTCGTTATATCTACCCAGAGCACTAAGTGTCATTTCTGTCTGCTGCTTCGTTCCTTTTCTGTCAGCATGAATTCCTTCTGACAAGTTTTCCTGTCACCAAGAGAAAAATGGTGATGGGGAGGGACTTTCAGCAGATTGACAGCCTTGACTCGTTTCCTGTGAGCTGTCTGGAGGAGAGTGTGTCCCTTCTATCCAATCAGCTCTCAGAACCCTCCTCACTGAGCTCTGCAGTGTGTAACTTCAGTTCCATGTACCCTTTTTATGAATCCTCAGGCAAGTTTTTTAAGGGCTTGTTCACACTTGACTACATTTCTATCTCTTAACAAATGCTCCTACAGTGTTAGCAGGGCCTTTTTTCAGTGGGAACATGGGGGGATGCAGTTCCAGCACTAAATGTATATAGTGGCAAGGGGTGCTGGGAATTGCTGGAGAGTCTATTGATGCTGTCTGCTGGGGATCTATTGTCCCTGGGGTGGGGGGGCTATTGTTGCTGGGGGAAGACTATTGTTGCTGCTGAGGGTCTATTATTGCTGGAAAGTCAATTGTATCTGGGAGGAATCGACTGTTGAAGGAGGGTCTATTGTTGCTGGCTGCTGGAGTGTCTATTGATGCTGGCTGGGGGCTTTTGTTGCTGGGGAGCATCTATTGCTTCTTGGGGAAGAATTTGTTGCAGGGAGTCTATTGTTATCATTAACAAATTCTATATAAATTACTTAGCACCAAAAATTGATACTTGGTACTGTATTCTCTAAAAGATGCAATACTGGGAGTTGGGTAGAGGGTGGAACCAAGGGACCGTGGCCAGAAGTGGGTAGGGGCCAAAGACAAGGGGTTACTTAAAAGGGAGAAGTATCTGCACCTATTCACTGAGAAAAAAAATCCTGAGGGTTAGTATAGGTGTTAGACAGGCGTTAATGAGCTTTAGTGTGGGTGTTGTATAAGCATTTTACAAGTGTTAAACCACACCACAAACGCCTACATTACATTCTAATGTTATTAATGCTGACTGGCACTCCAGTGGTATTAATCACACTGCAAATGCTCCGCAAACACCTGCCAGCGCGTTTGCGGAGAATCACTATAGACTTGAATAGGAGGTGTCGAAAGGCCTCAAACTCCTCCAGACTGGACATGAGGCTTCTGTTTTGAAGTGATGCAACGCTAACGCTTCAGGTTTTGCTAATGTGAATAGCAATGTGTGCTATCCATAGTATTATTTGCATAGGCGTTTGAGGAGCATTAAAAAAGCCCCTCAAATGCCTGCTTTTAATGACATTGTGAATTAGGTCTAAATTCAGCACTTTGAACAGATGTAGAGGGCAGAAAGCTTCAGATAAGCAGTTACAAAGTATGTAGGAGGATTTGTTTTATTGCTGTGTATCTCTGAGGCCAGTCACTTCACTGGGTATATGTAAAGGTTTACAACCACCTTAAGTGACATAGATGCTGAGAAAAAATAGAAGTCTTTGGAATAAATTTTTACATATTATCTCGCTCACTTCTACTGGTTTAGTGATGATTTTTTGTGGAAAAATAATGAACCATGACAATCTGCAGGCATTGAACATGTGAACTTAAGTAAGATGACTTTGTTATCATGGGGGCACCCAGTTAATTTGTTAGTAGGTGCACAAAGCTGTCTCAGCACAACACATCAGAACCTCGAAGTGTATGTAAACCTTAAAAATGTACTTCTCCTATCTGCCCACTTTGGTCTGTTAAATATATAATTTGAAGCATTTTGTTAGGCTTATGTGACAAGTGCAAAAAAAATATTGAAATTCTGTGTCTTCTGCCCACTTTCTGTGTTACTGCAAATAGCCCTTACAGTTCTTATCTTGGACTACATAATTGTTAGCCTTTATGTGTAGAGATCTGAGTGCGAGCCACTGAGTAGTTTAGTACACCTCCACAAAACAAAATGTTTTATAATATGACATATAGCAGCTGAATTTTGGGTGTGGCCAAATTGCACTAACAATGGGAGGGGCTTAAAAGGTATGGTTAAAAAAATCTGAGCCTATTCAGTGTATACACAGCACTTATGTGTCATAATCCACTTATCCACAGGATATTCTTTAATTTTTTATTTATGTGCCATAAACAAGATCCTAACAGTCCTCCTAAAAACTTCAACGCACTCATTTTTTTAAATTAAACTCTTTCATTACATATGATTTTTTTCACACAACCTAGCCTAAAGAAGAATCTCAGGAGTATATAATGCACTTATAGTGCAGTGGCCAGGAATATGTCTGTCCTGCCTTCTCTGCAGTTATGGAAGAGTTACAGAGGGTAACAGGCAGTATAACCTTTGATGTCCACACAGTAATGAGTCGATGATTGATAACCGATGATCTTTTACTGATAACATGTGACATAGTACATGAAGTGTGAATATGAATGTGAATGCGCGGTAAAAAAGACTTTGGGGGTCTAATCAAGCCCATATATGAAGAGAGAACAGCATCCCACATCTACTTGCATAGTAGAATTTCTTCAGTCTGAAGAGATGAGGTCACTTCCTCCCAAGTTAGCAAACAGGAAGTCCCTAGCCTTAAAGGGGACAGACACTGCTGAATGCTAAAGAATGCCTTGTGTAATACAAGGCAGCACAATGTCATATAAATCCCAGAGTTCAGAGTGCATTGATCAAGAGTATGACATTTTCAAGAGCATGTAATG